CGTGCACCTGTGAAGCGGTACCACTTGGCTTGGGAAGGAAAGTCGTTTCTGTCACACTTCAACAACCTACCCCTTTGAGAACCAGAGGCACGATCAGCGGTGTTCAGTTCAGTGTAGCTCGAACATTCCTTGGGATCTGAAACAGAGAGCAATTACTCATGAGGCTACAAATACGCAAAAGGAAATCCGTGGTAGAAAAAGACACCCAACGAGCATTGGGTTATGTATGCAATGACTCACTTGGCCGATATTTCAGATCATTTCTTCAGGTTGTTTTTTCGACCATTCGCTGTTTAATTTGGCTACGAAATGGTCTTCAGATCGAGCATCATTTACTTGGCAGCGGCGAAGCATTAAAAATAATTCAACATGGCTTTCCTGATGTTATGTTCATAAGCTACGTACCTACCTTGATCTTCTGAGTCACCAAGTTCTGATCAGTGTGGCCCTCTTTCTGTTGGATTTTTTGTTAATTTGTTCACTTATTTTTTGTTTCATTGATATGGTTTCGCAAATTCTTACCTTCGTCGCAGTGTCTTCCAGTAAACCAGCCACCAACACATGTGCACTTGTAACTTCCAACAGTATTAGCACATTTAGCTCCATTCTTGCAGGGTTTGATGCCGACACATTCATCAACATCTAGAAAACAAGAAAACAACAACCCAAATGATTTCAATGACGAAATACACATCACAGTGTCAAACATAAGGTTTGGATTCCCTAGTAAGTCGAATCATAAAGCAGCTTCCACTGTCTGTCTTGTATACAACTGTTTCGAAAAAAATTGTCGAAAACAGGGCAGAAGTTTACGCGACATTCTTGAAGGGTAATCTGGGTACCCGGTAATCAATGAATTTTAACGTGTCAAATAAGTAAATAAATTAATCAATTTGTGAATTGAAAATCACCCACAACACCTTTCGGGGTCGTCACGTGAATTTTCACGCTTTTTCCAACAATCTTCGGTAATAGCTGTATGTAACACACCGTAAGGAAACCATCATTGGGCTAGATCAAGAAAGTATTTAAATCTACCCTCATCGCAGTGTTTTCCTTTAAAGTTATTGGGGCACTTGCAGCTGTATCCACCAACAGAGTTAATACAGGTTCCTCCGTTTTTACACGGCTTGTGTACTGTGCACTCGTTGATATCTAAGTGAAAGAACGATTTAGTTGAATTAAAGGCCTAAGTTATGACATATACGACATATCTTTCTCGAAGCCTCCAAGCTAGTTCTTTATTTGGGCGCTCTCGGTTTTTGTCAGAGAAAACGCAAAACGATTATTGAGCATACTGTGTAACTTAACACCGAGAAACACGAAACCTGAGTTTTGATAAAAGCAAGAATATTCACTTGAAATATCACCAACCCGTCTCACAGTTGCTTCCAGTATATTTCGCTCCGCATGCGCATTTGTAGCTTCCAGCTGTGTTGGTGCACGTTCCTCCATTCTTACATGGATTGTTAACAGAACATTCATCGATATCTGGAAAGGAAGATATCAAGACGAACGCTTTCACAAGATGCAGGGTGCTACGTTTGTTTCACGGAGAAAGTCATTATACGAACGAAACTTACTGGCGAGCAGTCTTAAAATATTGAGCAATGCTGTGATAGCGTAGAGAACTCATGATTCTTTAGCAACCGCGATATTAATGCCACATTTCATGCGTGGATGGAAAATACACATAGGGGACAATTTCCATAGTCTATATATATAAATATTATTAAAACTAGTCTTCCAATGTGTGAAAAATGGTGGGTTTAGCTGTTGACTGTACACAAATTTATACGCTAACATGACCCTAGCAGTTACTTTTGAGGAACTGCATGAATACCAACTCCTGCTCGTTTGTCGTGATTTACCGAAAACACATTTATCAAGTTTCACACTGGAATATTTGCGATTAATCTCGTCATATGGATACGGAAATCTATCGAATTAAAACTGGGTAAAGTTACTGTTTACAACATGCATGACATACCTTTATCGCAGTTCTTTCCTTGGTAGCCACCTTTACACTGGCAGTAGTAGCCGTCACCTTGAGGTTTACATACTCCGCCATTTTGACAGGGATTCTTTGGTTCACAAACGTCTACGGGTAAACAGAGTAATAAAGGGCAAGGCAAGTCATATTCCCATTTTCTTGCACACAGTATACTTCTGTGAACTCATAGGAAACAGATCAAGTCAATCTTGGTCACGAAAGGACACCTGATTACAACGTCTTTTTTCATTAACACTTACAAAAAAGAAATTGACTGAGCGATAGACCACATTTTCTTTCAGTTTACCAGCGTAATAACGCACGCAGGATGTTGGGACAACACGACAAAAGTTTCTAACAAATTTCTTGACAGTTCTCGCTGCACAATTGCTTCTCCTTAAAAGAAAATTAAACCGAAGAGTTCTCTGAAATGAACTTTTACTTTGTACTTACTATGTCCTTTATCGCCGCAAAATCGTAAATAACACGCCGGCGGCTTCGCCAGCTTGTACACGTAGTGGCTTCCACAGTTCCTGACATCGATATCGACACTCCACCGACAACAGTCGCCACTCCAGTGGAAGCAGATCTTCCTCTTGACCACTCCATCTTCCTTCTTGGGGTGTGCATCCTTCATCCATCCAGGGGCGTGGGTTCCGCAACGTTGCGTAGGAACGCAGGAGTTTGGTATCTTGGTACCAGCTGCTCCGACAAATTGATGCCACTTTCCAATCGTTTTCAGATTTCTTGCGTCGCATTCCAGAAAGCTCCTTCTCAAGTTGCCTGAGGCTCGGTTTGCTTCACTTAGTTTGATGTTTACGATGCACTCAGCAGGAACTATGTTGCAGAGAAGGAGATGCGTTAATTAACCTGCTTTAAGGAAGATAATCCTAAGGATGGCTCTTAAAAGAGACCCGTTAGGTTTTGTGGGGTAAGTGATTTTACTTCGGATACATGTGGATACTAAGAATACTTATGTAGATGACGGTTTTTGGAGCGACTCGAAGTAATGAACGGCAGTGAGAATGAGTGGCGACTCCTCTCAAAGCTCCGTTGCTTTGAGGCGCCCCAAAGCTCATCAGGTACGCAGCCTATCATACCAGACAAGCAGCGTTTCCCCAAAAGCCCCACGCATAACAGGCAATTCAATTTACAGGGTGTCAAGTGACAAATGACACTTAGAAAATAGGAAAATAGGAATGACAGTGGCCAAAAAATAGGAAATAAATAGGAATTCTCACCCCAAAATAGGAAAAAAATAGGAGGATTTCTTTGAGTTCTATCCTCTTAACACTCCCAATAGAAACTCTGTTCCACAACCCAACGCTTTAATATTTAACAGGCACTATGACATACATCCATAACGCATTGCAGCCCCACTTCAACATGGCAAATGCACATACATGCAAATGAACCTCCCAGAATCCCTTGCATGTTATCAAAAGCACTGAGAAAGTCTGGGCACTAGTTTCAGAAGAAAATCACTCATAAAGGCTTCAAACTGGTCTTTTTTGAAATGAAGTTTCAGTTTTTTGCAGAATTTATCAATTTTATTTGCAATTTTATTTCAAATATTTCAAAATGTTTCTGTGTACCTAGTAAAAACCCTAAAAAAATAGGAAAAACTAGGAATTTCATGTAAAAATAGGAGAAAATAGGAGGCAGGCCAAAAAATAGGAAAAATAGGAACTTGACACCCTGAATTTATTCTAAAACAGAGCCACTTTCATTTTTTTTCTTGCGCTACGGACGTCAAATGACAGACGCTGCATTTTGCAATAATTGGTTATATGAAAAAGGTAACAACCATATCAGAACTTTAACGCTCCTCTAGTTTACCAAAAGACTTTTCAGATGACACTGTATAGCGAAGATTGAAAATATTAAGAAAGATAAGTAGATAACATCTAAAGAAGATTACGCGGGGAACAGTTTCGATCTTAGTAATAACGGCGTTTGCCTGACGAAACGGTCACTAGCTTCCGATGTGGATCGCAACGATTCGGTTGCGATTCTCCTGATTTTACTTTTCTGGGAGATTCCTCTTTATATTGACATATGAGTTTCGAAACTAGTTACATAGTTTAGTTTATTGTGTCGAAAGTAAACAAAAATCAAGATTTTCCTGAGTAAGGTAAAGCCGTTTTATATTACAACATGTTAATATAATTGGGATAAATGTAGTAAATATAGATACCTAGGAAAACTGAACACGAATGAATGTAATCGCACTGAGTACCTTGGATGAGATCAAGCGATCACAATCATGAAACATCTAAAAAGCGTTTTCATGATCTTATAATATACATCACTGACTAACACGTCTGAAAAGCCTCTAGAGAAACATCTACCTTCATCACAATTCTTTCCTGTAAACCAACCACCAACACAGGTGCATTTGTAGCCCCCTGGTTTATTCTCACACTTGCCGCCATTCTTGCAGGGTTTGCTGGCGCATTCATCCACATCTGTGTTGTGAATAAGCACGCAAAAACATTCCAACATGAGATTCAGTTTAGGTTTCATATCTTAAGTTATTTGTAACGAATTTAAGGAGGGAAGGAAGACATGGATGGTTAAAGGAAGAAACCTATATAGGACAAATTCTTTTCGCTGTAGATCCCTGAAACAATCATAAATATGTAATCTCCGAAATAATCATAAATATGAAGTGCGTTTAGCTGAACCACTGTTGACGTTTATAAACGAGTTTCAAGATTCATCGAATTACAAGAAGGTAACTCAACCCTCGTCCAGTCTCAACGACAAAAACAACATAACAACTTACCCTCTGTGGCCGTAACAAGAGCAAATGGGAGTTCATTCCTTGGCAAGTACCGCAAACAATATCATCCCTCAACACTCAATGTAGAAACAATTTTCATTATTACCACAGTAACTTACCCACGTCACAGTTTTTGCCTTTAAAACCAGGAGGACATTTACACTGATAACCACCCACAATATTTGTGCAATGGGCGCCATTTTGACAAGGCTTATGCACACTGCAAATGTCACCGTCTACACAGAAATATAAATAGAACACAGTTAAATAAGTGATTCAAGAGAGAAATGCTTTCACAAAATTATTGATTTCATAAACTTTAAAAGAAGGCCGCTGACCAAAGCGCTTTTCGATTCAGTTCAGTAAAACCAGAAGTCATGATTGCTTTTAGTTTTACCGTGTTACCTTCATTGGTTGAGAAGGTAGCCCTCGAATTTTTTAAACCTATCACAAAGAACAGTGAAGCAAACAACTGAAATCGTGGATGACTTTCGACACTCAAACGAGAATTTTTTTTTTTTGTATATGGCCTAAGCGTCATACCTTCAGTACATCCGTAGAACTCCACTCTCAGAGAAATGGTTCCATACCAGCTCTTAGGTTTGACCCGTATATACTGTGCTATGATTGGTGGATCAATAAACTCGGATGCTACAGTGTAACGATCCTTGTTTCCTTGGAAGACCTAGGTATTTGAACACAGATTGTTATTTAATGCTGACTCGACTCGTCATTCCTTGATAAGATTCTTTCAAATAGTCAATTTTTTTCATTCCTGATCTTTCAGAGCAATTTTCAATAGCGCTTTGAAAAACCAAAACCAAAGTAATCAAAAACGGCATTGAAAACGACGAATTACTTTACCGTTAGCAAATGAGGATTCAAAGTAAAACCAGGCAAACCGCACAACGCGCGGAAAGACGCCGATGACGAAGTCGGGATTGGTTTGCGTTTTGCGTCTGATTTAATATGAGGATGGCGTGAGTTTTCTGGATCAATCCAGACCGAAGTAAAACAAAACCAAAATAACCTCGGATATCTCTGCACGCTCGATTGAAAATTTCCCTTCCTATTTTCCTATCATACCAAACTGATATTTCCTAGTCTCCTTCAAGCCGAGTATAGTTTTGGAGCGCAAAATATTTCATAAGAAAAAATATAGAGATAATGATATTAAGAGCAGATTAGAACTAGTTTCACTAGCATCACCTGAAGTAATAGTACGTGACATTTTAAAAATTGCCTAGTGAAGCAGAGCCTTAAAACCTGTTAATGGAATCCAAGGTGATCTATGATGCTCTCATATTTTCAAGTCATCTTTATTTAGGCAGGGTAGCCCCATCAGCCATAGGCTGGTATCAAAAGGGGCCCTGAAGAAAAATCATAGAACTTTCGAATTAATTTTTCGTACTTGATATCAAACTCAGGAAGCCGTAACACCTTAATGTCCTGTGAGATTCGTCACAACGAAACAGATATTCCAAACATTTCAAGTTTCTTCTGAGTTTGACAGTAACACAAAACTACTTACACCAAGGATCACACAGGTGTGAGAACGTACCGTAACAATATTATTCAGTTTGTAATCTTTCCACGTCTTTCCATCGAAGCTGTAAGCCAAAGTGTAGGTCTTCACCCACTGGTCAGCGTCCATTCGTCCCTGAGTGGCAACGCGACGTACCTTAGCGACCACGTCGAACTTCGCTTGAATGTACTGGTTGCCATCTGCTGTTTTAGCGGACCATGCACCGATTCGTGAACCTGTTTTCTGGAAGTGAAGCCTACCATTATCTGCTCTGTGGTTAGCATCGTATTGTGAAGAAGCCTGTAGGGCATCTGCTTTGATACGCCCGCTTTGCATGCCGAGTGCTTCCATGCACAGAGGGGGACTGGGAGGGACAAAACCTGATGAGCGAGAAAAATGGTGGCGAAGCATTTAACAATTTCATGGGGATTCTCTTGATCTCTAATAACAGTCACGTTCATCTTTCGACCCTGTGCTTCATTTAGACAATTAAACTCTCTAACTGAAACAGTTATCAACTCCACGTTATGCCATTGGAAGCTAGAAACGCCAACTGTCTTACAGCTCTCGGATAGACCATTTTTTCCGAAATGTCAACAGAAAATTTGAAATAGTTAACCTCTTACCCTTGCGGATACTGAATCAAGTCAACATTTAGAAATAATAGACAAATGAGTGAAGTAAATTACTAAGGCAGGGGCACGTTTACGAGTGGTTTTTCATCCAACAGTGCCGTGGAATTTCAATTTGAAGTATTGCATTTTGTGGAGAGGAGAAAACAGAAAACCTTTAGTAGATACCGCGGAGCAAGGACAAGAGCAACCTAGATTTGACGTCAGGTAAGTGAATCAAACTCGGAACAGTGGGAGCAAACAATCTCACTTCTTTGCCATTTATGCTTCTCTTTAGTACATTCTCCGAAGCAGTAAGAAATAATTTCAGTTGATGTAACATAACTTCGTGCTTACCTGTTTGACAGCCAAATAATTCAAGTCTCAAGGAGATATGTCTATGGAACGTTTTTGGATGGAGACGAAAGAAACGAGTGTAGATGGGAACTTCTAACTTGTTTACTTTGATTGTATTCCTGTCTGAGTTTCCTGTAAAGATCTAAGAAAATGACAAAACAGGCAACAGTCACGAAAAGCAGTTTCCACATGAAACAAAAAGTTCCCTTTCAACGCAGCAAATCCGAGAGCAAGGAAAGGGAACTTCTTCAAGCAACTATTTTGGATTAAATCAGAGTCGCCTTGAGTTGTCACCCACAACAAAGGAAAGATTTACATCTAGATGGAGAGTTGCATGGAGAGATAATTTCCAACCCTTATAACAAAGGTTCCAGCGACTATTACCAGCATGGACTAAGAGAGATGGAACTCAACCATAATCAACAAATTCAAGTAAGATCAAACGCAGCAAGAGCATTGTGGAGTCATCAAGACTTCAAAAGGCCTCCTAGCAAAATGATACGCTTTGGAGGGAAATGCGATTCCCAGAAATAATTCATCGAACATATTCCAGTAAAAGTCTTTACAGCTACGCTACCTGACGGAATTGTGGTATATATCTATTTTTGGACAATCCCTGGCAATAGGTTCGACAACCATATCAAAAGGTTTGGGTTCAGATAGGCGGCATGTCAAACTTACAATTGGACCATTGTCACCGTAGACCTCGTAGAAACCATTACTGAGGCTGTAGGATATCCAGTATGACGTCACCCACTGATTATAATCACTTCTACCTTGGGTAAACACCTGTGTTATCTTGACAACCTTGCCAAAGTCGATCTGCAAAGTGAATATTAAGATAGCAATACGATTTATAATTGTACAAGAAGTAAATCATTGTTTAGTAGGAAACGCATGGGTGCAATGGTTAGGGCGCTCAAACTGGATCGAACGGCCCAGGAACCGGTAACTTTACCGACCACAAGCTATTTCTAAAACATTTAACTCAAAAACCAATCTACTCTGCTTTGTTTTCTAATATTTTTATAGTTCTGATTTCAATCATCTCTAATGAACATATCAAACCAAGAAAGCAGTTTTTGAGACTGATAACAACAGTGACGTCAGAGAAGAGGCCCCAGGTTCGAGCCCTAACAGGGTCAGTCCCCAAGCGTTCATTCAGGAACACGGATGGGTACTGAGTACTAGTGAGGTGTCATGACACCACATAGTACCCTTCCTAGTTGCCAGGTGCCTAGAAAATTGGAAATGTTCAGACTCGTGTGCAGACATTTCACAGACAAGAGAGAGTCGAGTATCGGTAAATAGACAACATATACCTGAATCCACTGCCCTAAGTCATTATACTTTGCAGACCAAGCTCCTGTCTTCGCTCCCGAACGTGCAGAATTTAGTCGCGCACGGATTGGACTATGGTTACCATCCCATTGGCTGGAGGCCGTGATAGCATCATCAGGAATGTCACCACTCTGAATACCTAGCTTTCCTTCCTTACATCGAGGGCTAGGCGTAGATGGTGGTGCACCTGAAACAACAAAGAAAAATACTGAAGTCAATAAATGTTCGAAGAATCAATATCCAGGGGTTGATCTATATACAGTCGTGGCAGTAAAAGGAACACAAAACAAAACCGGCTACAGCTTCCAGGTTCGTTTGTTGGTGTCATTGTACGAGCTTACCTTGACAAGACTCATCTAGAATCATCTGTAGTTTATCCTTCAAGACGTCAAAGGCATCCACCTGTATAACATACTGATCATCGTTCATGGCGATCTGACGCAGCTCTCGCTGGTTGATACCGTGACCAATACCTACTGCAACAGTTCTGACACCTCTTTCCTACCAAATTAAAAAGGTAAGAATGATGAAAAAGAATATTTCTTGTTTTCTTTTGATTTTCTTGGTTAGATGTTTCCAGATAGCTTTTGTAAGTGCCCGAGTAAGTAAAGAATGAGATCGTACGAAATATAAAAGATGCATGGTTAAACACACTGGCAAAATCAAACCCTGTCAATCAATTACAAGTGCAATCAACGTTGAAAGATTGATGGTACTAACCTGAAGTGGTTGTAGTACTTCAGGGTATGGCCTGCTTCCTCTGTTGGTTTTACCATCGGTAAACACAATCAAAATGTTTGCTTTGTCGTTACGATCCCCTCCAGCGCTAGTAAACAGCTTTTGAGCAGCCATTTCCAAGGCCTTATCGGTGCGAGTCCACTGACCAGGATACCTAATTTCCATCACACGTTTCTTTAGTTCGACCACGTCGTGATATTTAGCGTTTGCTAGGTCAAATTCCAAATTGGAATTAGTACTATATGTAATTACACCAAAGTGCGTTGCTTTGGTGGAGACTGAGAAGTGAGACATCAAGGACTGGACGAACTCCTTGGCTATTTTGAAGTTGTTTTTACCCACACTGCCTGAGCCATCCAGGATGATCCCAACGTCTAAGGCCTTGGTACAAGCTATATTCAAAATTTTACAAAATTAACACCTACTTGAATCAATTTTCTGCCGCTGATGCATGTTTCGGATTCAGTTTCTTTTATAACGCTGGTGTCGCCGTCTTCGTTTTTATCTACATTCGGTGAAAACGATGACGGCGACAGGTTGGTCGTTTCTATTATGTTCGAGCAACTTTCAATCGAATATCAAATGAAGATAGAAATTGCAGCGGTTTTCCTTCACTGCGCTCTGTCGTTCAGGGGTTTACCAATCCCGTGCCACAAATCAGATTGCAAAACTAGGACCAATCACAGCTTTAGAACTTGGTTTCTTGCACTTAAGACTGCGGATTACACATTTTAATTTGAAATCTGACTCTTGACGAGTAATTACCTAAAACACTTGGACTGAGGAAATCAATTATAATTTGTCCCGTGACAAACTCACTACCAGGTAAAAGATCTGTACTTTGCGAAGTTACAGTTGGACAAATTTGATCCTTCAAGGACAAAATTCTTAATTCTTACTCACGTTTGGGACATGGATTCTCAGAACACGCCCCAGTCTCTTCCAACTCTCCAGTGCAACTTTTGCCGTTGCCTTTTGGAGGGGGATTGGTACACGATCTTTCGCGAACTTTTATTCCTCCACCGCAAGACTTAGAGCATTGCGTCCAACTAGACCACGCGGACCAAGCACCATCGACATCACCAGCACCTGATAAGAGATTCTAGTCAATGAATGACAAGCACAAAAATATGACACATGTATCAACATCCTCTACTAAGGGGTATATGTTAGTTGGGTACCCCTGGTCAGGATTATGAACGATTTGTGTTGACTTATTTCCCCTATAGTAACTGATGTTTCATTTCGCTTCCCAATTGAAGCAGGGTCTATTTCGAAGGTTGCAATCTGTTGCATGTCACCCACCTTGACAAGATTCCATGAGGATTTGCTTCAAGTTGCTTTTAAGTTCATCAAAATCGTTTAGATGTGTGACGTAGTCAGGGTTTCCGGCAGCAATCATGAGCAGTTCATCGTCACCAATGCTGTTCCCAATTCCTACGGCAACCGTGCGGACCCCCTTGTTCTAAAACAGAAGAAGAAGGGAACAACACTAACCTTTATTTTTCACTGAACATTTTCACTCGCAGGCGATTGGTTTAAAAGCATCAGGTGACCCAAAGCGACGTCTAAAACTACAATGCTCCCCAGTTTTTTAAACCCTGAGTGCAGTGCCGTGGAAGTCTACTGCTTTTTCAGAGGAAGGTTCAGACTGGTTTTCTAGAAAACTCGCTTTAAAAAGTTATTTTTCAACTGAAGAAAAATATCCGCGCATTATTATTTTCGCGCCAAATGGAGGCCACTGTTTTTGATATTCATCAGAATTTTATCTTCAAAGATATTCATCAGAACTTTATCTTCACAGATTAGTGCAGTTACCTCAAGAAGCTTCTACCTCCTTAAGTCACCCTTAATTGTACAACTTGAAAAACGTAGCCTTATCTTGAATATTCGTTGCCTACAATTCATGTTAATATTGTCCGTTCTGGATCATCCTTATAGTTCTTTGTGAATAATTCTCTCCTCCTTAGCATATTCCTAGGCTAGCAAGCGACAATTTAAACGTTAAGTGCATATTTCCTTGTAGCTAACCTGCAGAGGCTTCAAAACATCCTTATATGGCGCACTCTTGCCACTTGTTTTACCATCGGTGAGGATCACCAAAACATTTGCGGCATCTGCCCTGTCACCACCAGCGGCGCTAAAGATCTGATCAGCGGCCATCTCTAAGGCCAGATCCGTTCTTGTCCCTCCACCAGTTTATTTCAGGCCCTTGATGGCTTCCTGTAGCTTGGAAAGGCTGTGGTATTCCGATTTCGCCAGGTTGAATTTTAATGTGGCCACTGAATGATAGACGATGGCACCGACGTGGGTACCTTGTGGGGATACTGACAAGTGGCCGACAAGATCAGAGAGGAACTTCAAAGCTTTGGCAAAGTTTCCACTTCCAACGCTGCCTGAAGCATCTATTATCAGGCCAACGTCCAGGGATTTCTTGCAGGCTGTTGAAATGAAATTGACATGAAAGATTAGTAACTGAAAAGGTACGTATGTTGGTGATACGTGGCTGAAGAAAGCGTGAGATTCGAGTTGTAATTTATTTTATGCCACTTACGATCAGGGCACGGATCTTCATTACATTTTTGATCCTCCTCGGGTTCACCCAAGTGGTCGCAGCCCTTTCCATTCCCCACAGGGGCAGGGTCGGTACAGGTTCTTTCACGAGCTCGTGTTCCGCCTCCACAGGTTTTAGTGCATGCAGTCCACTCTGACCACAATGAGTAGCCACCATTTACATCCTTAGGTTTTACTATAGAGGAAGAAAAAGAGAAAACAGACATTGATTAAGCTTCCAAAAAGAGTACTCTTACATTACGATAAAGATACCTAAAGAATTATGTGTGAATTTTCAAACTGATGACCGCATGAAAAGTTGCATAAAATAATGTTGACCTACTGAAACAGTGTAAACATTGAATAAGGATAAAAAAAATAATTAATCAATGTCTAAGGTTGAGACGTGAAGTAAATAAGTACCACAATATTTTAAAAGCTTTTGTGTGACACTTTCAGCAGCAAGACTATTTTGCAACTGAAAAACAATCATTTAAAGATGTTGGGTAGATGTTTTTGTTTCAGTTGAATGTGTTTCATAGAAATTGAACTTCAAAATATTAGAATAAAATAACCAATTTTCCTTAAAATATAAGCCTCTCGAAAGTAAGAAGAAAAACTGAATCCTTGAAGGAAGCAAACTAAATCCCAATCAAAATTAGCTAGTCAAAAAAACTTTGTCAAAGTTTAAATTGAACCAGTAAGTTTAATCTACTAAGATGAAACCAAATTGAAATGAAAGTCTCATGTAAAATTAAGAACTCCTACAATTGTAAAATTTTAAATACAATTCAATGCTCTCTTTTAATCTAAGAATTCACTCACAGTCTTTCAATCGATAGATGTAGTTAGTGCTTTGAGTTCCAACACATTCCATATCCTTGCTTTTATCACAAGGAGGGAATGGTTCGACGAGCTCTTGGATGCACTTTTTGGAATCAGCTTCACCATATTTGTTAAATGCTGTCTCTCCATTCTCTCCACTCCAGCACTCGCCATAGAACTGCAACCCAAATACTTTCCAACCATTTTCACGGGTTTTATTTGCACAGCGGCAGGCAAGACTGAAAAAAGTCATGTGAAAATGTTATTACCTAATGGTGGTTGCATTGACATTCTACCTGTAGTGATTTTACTTATCATCAGGAGTGTACATATTGTTCTGTTGGGCAATGAGAAATGAAACTTAATTTTTTAAGGTTGGCCAGCCCTTGGTTAGCTCATGAGTGCTGCACTGTTGTGTGGGAAGGTCAGACCGGACCAACCCTAAGAGTCTTAAAATAACTGAGGACAAGGTGTTGCCTTTGCTATGACATCCGATAATGATAAGATATTCTAATCTTATAAGATAAGGACGATAAACCATTGGCCCTGTCACCATCATCTTCTCTGTACTGGTTAGCAAAGGATGTTAAAAAAACCATTGCTTTTCTCCAAAAGAGTAGGGAATGTAGCCCCCAGTACTGTGGTCTGGCCATGTTACTGTTGATCCTAGTCCAAGCTTTAAAGCTGAACTGGGCCAGCCTGTCTAAATATACCAAATAAATAGATTAAAAGGGCGCGTTACCTGAGCATTGACTCTTCCCATGCATGCCAATCAATCTGTTGACCATCATGGGCATCACTGGATTTGTCTCTATCATTCACTAAGAGATTTGGTAGGGTTCTCATCCCTTTTTTGGTATTGTCCTTGAAACATCCCACTTTTTCGAACGTCCGCTCACATTTTGTATGAGGCAGGGCTGCTTTAAGAAGAAATATACGTAACTTCAGTAAATGATATGTTTATCCGATACTTGCAAAGCATTAAACCATATAAGGTGAACCCCGTGTTACAGAGACTTTGAGGCCCTATTAATCAATAATGACAGCTCACATGAGTAACATTTCATTGAGGGAACCTTGCCTTATAGTTGCATTCTTTTGTTTCTGGGCATAATGTGTTGGAAATGTTGTGCAAGTAATTCAAAGAGTCCACTTCCACGCTGCCTTTTTCTCTCGCAAAGGGCTGATCCTGAAACAAGAGCAATTCTCGTCTACAGGCGCGAAAACCGATAACCCAAAACCGCAGTTCATCTGCCGCCATTTTGTTTATTTTGGTAAAGAATAATCAAGCCTTTGCGACTAGGACTGGACTTACGAAATTCGGATAAATAATTAAGAATGCCGATGTCAGGTGGGGGGATCCTGAAGATGGGCGCTCAGACATAATACATAAAAGAAACCGAACCTTTCTTTCCATGAACAAACAGCACGTTCAAGGCTACAACGAGAAGAGGACTCCACATCTCTGCTAAAGATAAGCAAGCTGCCAAAAAAAAGAAAAATCAAACTAATGTTTTAGTTTACATAGAAAAACATATTGGAAAAAATTATGAGACAGAGGAAAATAATTTCGTTAGTTTAAAGAGGTGACAAATTTATATATCAAATAGATTCAATTCAGGATAATTAAAAATTAATCATTGATTTTCTTCTTTGGAAATATAAAACTTACGTGTTGCGTGCAAAACGATATTAAATTCAGATCACGGTATATAATCTATTGACTCAGGCTATATATCTTTAATTATGCCCGCTTTCAAAAGATCCGAAAATTGACCTAAGTAGTTGTAATTTGTTCCTCTGTTTAAAATCACCTCATTTTTGTGACTTATTTTTATTAGCTCTCTCGGTTCATGAATAGGGTGAAATTTTAAGACAAAATGACCTGAGAACGTGTGAGCCTGCTGTTGAAACAATGTTGAGAGTTTGAAAAACTCATCGCCTCCAGACGCATAGCAGGCCAGGTTACATCTCAGCTGAGTGAAGTGAATCCTCAGAATTATGGCTTTGGAAATTAAGAAGTCATTCAAGACTTTCTCTGATTCTAATTACAGGATAACACTTTTGCTTTATCTTAACCAAGCTTAATCGGTCAAGATGGCTCAGTATATTGGCCTCGCTCTTTTTCTCTGCGGTCAATATCCAGCCATCTTGACCTAACGATTGATCAGTAACGCATGTTTATGAATGCCAGTTTTATTTCACCTACGGTCTGTCACCCCTCCCGATTGAAGGTGTTTCCAAAAAAGTCTATTATTTGTCTAAGATTAAAAACGATTTTTGACTTATCTCCGACAAGTTGACTCGCAATTAAACCTGTTTAAATTCTGAAAAAGTCTGCAACTCGATATCGACGAGTCTCAGTAAACCTTGGAACGGGCTTTAGAACGGATATTTTTCCCTTTGCTAGCAAATCAAAAATCTCTTACAGCTGTTTAGCTACAAACAGAAAATTGGGTTTAACGGTAGGGGTCTGGCTTGCTTCAGGGCTGGAGCTTATGGCTAAAAATCTTTGTATCGTCAACTAGAAAGACGAACATGGAACAAAGAGCCATGAAATAAGTTGCTAGAGTCTCACTAAAAGAAAAGGATAAAAGCTACTTACCTCAATCTTCCTTTTTTATTTTAAGAGGGACTCCGATATTCTCCCTCTGTTGCCCATAGACCCACTCAGAAAGTGGCTTCTGTGAAACCCATTCTTTTTTTTTAAACAAGGCTTTATTTACACAGGAGACCGTACCAGTTTTTATGACAGATACTATTGTTATTAAAGACACTTAAAATAGATTAGTTTTGAAAATAACCTACGAACAAAATTAAAACTACCATTTTGAAACGCGTTATATAGTTTAAATTTGCCAATTTTTGCGTAAATAGTTTGTTTTTAATTTCGATTTAAAGGATTGCCGAGCTGATTTGTTTGCGCTGACGGAAAATATTCTCCTCGAAAACGTTTTGAAATGTTTGCTTTAATAAGAGCAAAGTCAATACATATGTTTTAAGGAAAGGTGTAAGATCATATAGAAACTAAATTCACACATTTTCACCATTCGCTAAGCTACCACTTTTGCCGTCAAATCATACAAATGACGAATCTCGGATAAATTTTTGAATCTGTTAACTCCTCATAACTTGTTCATATTTTCAAGTTTTGCATTATCATGACTCAAAGCCGATTGAAAAGTTTGCGTTTGCACTTGAAAGGTTTACTGCGAAATCAAGATGATGTGCTTCGATTGAAATTTTTTTAGAGTCTTTAAAGGAAAGAATGCATTCTATTTCAAACCTTTGTCAATTAAAACTACCTTCTTCCGAGACATGAAAAACTATTTAGAAAATGTTTTTCATCAATTAACAATTGCTTATTCGCAATAGTTTTGATCATTCTAAAGTATCATACATCGAAAGATTTTACGAGTGAGGTCTTTTAAACCGGGAGAAATAAAAATTCAAATGCCCTAGAGTTTTGCGACCTTATTTATATCAGTATGAAATAAATTCCCCTCTCTTTGAATGATGTTCTTTGCTTTAAAATTGAAAACAAGAGTAATCAAAAGAAATTGAATCGATATTCTTACAAACACAACATTTACAGCCAAGAAAAATGTGAAAAACGCATTTAGAAGAGCTCCTTTTGCAAATGGTAATATTAATTTTAAGAAAAGACTCTCGTAACTTTTTGGCTGTGGGAAGATTGTCATTAAGTCATTTGTTTTTCTTCCAACTGAGGCAAAGCTAGTGTAATCTTAATTAAAATTTAAGACTTTGAATAACACTGTAATAATCAAATCAGTGCTGGTAAATGTATTCATCTATTGATTCAACACTTTTTTAAAACACCACCTCTTAAATTTGACTTAATGAGACGTGATCCAATTAAGAAAAACATATTAGGAAATTCGTTTATGAGGATAAGAATTGGCGTTCAGCAACACTAAAAGGATCTTTTTAACACAGGATTTTGTTCAGCTACCTAGAATTTAATATAATAACGACCGACACAATGTCCGGTTCATGAGTTATCTTTTTCTTCCTTTTTTTCTCAATATCATACTATCGCACTTCTAATTGCAAATTTCCCTAGTTTGAAGCGTTATTAGGGAAACATGAATCCTGCGTATGTTTTCACGAGTACTTCCACATCCAACGTCTACTTTCCAAGGATTTTTGATCTCTTGTAAGGACCAAAGAAGTGAAAAACATTTGTTGAAATTCTTTTTTCTTCGAAAATCTTATGATCCCTACTCTTACTCCGGTGCAAGTGCAACAACGAACTGTTCATGTGCACACAGACTTAGATGAAATGCGCTGATGACCGAACCGAGGTCAAAATGGTTTAATTTTGGTTGTGTTCTTAATTCTTCCATTGGCAACTGTAAATCCGAGCTTGATGGTAGTGCAGAAAGTAGAAATAAACGT